TAAAAACGAACCGGTGATCTCCAATATAGGATTTTACACGGCGCCATCGCCACATACTCTTTTTTTTTATCCACTATTAACTGGGGTGTTTTAAACTAGTGTGCTTTCTGCCCTCTGTCTGAAAATGTGTTCCACGTTTTTATGGAATGCACAAGACTAAGGACATTTTTTTTAGCCTTTTGTGTGCTTTTAGTGTCATGGTGGGTCTATTTCTTGCCCACATGCAGAAACACTCACAGAGAGATGGTCAAAGTATGAAAGTTAATTTTTTTCTGATTCATGAACAAAGAGACAACAGGTTAACAGGTTATCTCAGCTTGGGGGTCTAGCGACCAGGAAACCTGGAGCGTCTACACAAAGGAGAGAGTGATTGGTGACTTCAAGGGTGTGGGGAAAAAAATGCAGATGACTGAAGCTCTGATTTGCAAGGACTCACTGTTGAGTTAGTAGGAGGCCTGTGGTTCCTGTTTGTGGAGGCCTTGACTGGTTGTAGGTGTAGGTGTCGTTGGAGGGCTGACAGGTTGGCTTATGGTGGCACAGAGGAGCAGACTGTTAACTGAAAAACTTAAAGAGGTAGGTGTTCAGAAAACGTGAGCAGTGTAAGTCTCAGCGTCTCGAGAGGATTTCTTCCAGAGCTGGAAGGACTTGAAAAATCCCAGTGGATCTGTAGATTTCCTGTCAAAGATTCACAAAACAAGTGTAAGAGAATGAAATCACTTGGTTAAGCCCAAAGTTTCACTAAGCTAAGGCTCAGAGGGGCTAGAGTACCCAAAACAGAAAAACACTCTGGTGAAGAGGTGGTGACAGTCAGCTGCTCAAATACTCCTCTGAGTTGATGACAAATTCATTGCAGGTGTGGGTAATTGAGACGAGTAGGGAAGCCCTCCAGGACAGAAGTGAGCCAATGGCACCATCTGGTGGATGAACGGTGGAACTGAAATAAAAACACAAAGCTGCCCCCACAAACTGGAAACACAACATTTAGTCATTTTGGGATGGTTTTTAAAAATGCTCTATTTTTGGGAGAAGAAATCACTGTCCCCCCGACATCCGCGGTTATATTTTTTATATTTATAAATTTTAATTTTTTTTTAAAGTGGAGTGTTTATGACGTGGCGTGCATTCTTCCTGTCGCTTGGCTACAGCATAAACAATTTGTCTCTCTATGGCTCTGGGTTACGGCTGGTATGAAAGTACAGCTGTGGAATGGTCTGATAAACTGACAGATCTTTTTGTTGTTTTTGTTTTCTCTCTGTCTATATAAGACTGTGGTGGGCCCAAAAGAGACTGTACACATGATCCCACATTTAGGAAAAAACGTATCTCTTTGGTTTGGTTTGATTGTATTCACTGTTTTAAACACCATTTTAACGTGTTTCAAGCATGCCAGATTTTACCAGTGGCTTTTACAGCTCACTCGTTGCTTTTTGGTTGTGGAATCAAGGTTTTTCCTTGGCCTACTAGAGATTCTGTTCCATTCACTATGCTGTATTGTTTAGGGGGACAGAAAGCAGGTGCCTCCCCTCCCTACTCTAGACAAGGGTGAAGGGAAGGTCATGAGAAATAAGAAGTATATTAAGCCTCCTTCATGCTATGGTTAAAATTTATGAAATGTTTATCTGAGCAAATTTAGGTCCTTTGATAAACTAAAGTGTTTCTCTTGAGAAGATTCAATGTTCATGTGTGTGTATGCTGTGGATTTTGTTTAAATGTAGGGGTGTGTTTCTGAATGCTTCAGAATCGCACTCAGCTGTATTCAGCTGGTTTGTGCCATTCTCCTCTGCAGAGTAAAATAAAACCTTTTCTTCCTTGCATATCAACTCTCATTGCTCATTTTTACTCCACAAGGTTTTTTACCAAGATGCACTTACTTGTCATGGTCTTGGCGCTGACGGCTGGCTTTTTAATGGCAGCTGATTAACGCCTGTAGGAGCTATTTCTCAATTTTTTTTGTTAAACATTAGAATTTGGATAATTTATTTAGATTTATTTAGAATAGGATTTGTTGTTTTAGTGATTCACTTCATCAGTTAATTTTTTTTAGCTTGGGATGTGGGTATTTCACTGTATAAATAGGGAGATCTTAGGTAGCTCATTATGCATGTGGGTGTTCATATGTTTTTTTACAGTTCTCAGTTCAGTTTTCAGTCACAGTCTCAATCAGTAAGTCAGTTAAAGAACAGGTGCAAGAATTAGAGGGAGAGCAGTAGCAGAATCCTGTGAAGCCTGTAACCTGTTTTTCTGTACGGAGAATAAAGCGAGCAAAGAACTGGATTTTGACCCTTTTTGGTCTGCATAAACCAGAATCCACGGTGCATCAGGTGGCTATTTGAGTTGAATTCACCTTTTGCTTTGATCAACTTTAAGTCTTAAGTTTTTTAAATTTAGTTTTGTTCAAATAGTCACTACAACGCCGATTGTTTCCACCTGATTCCCCAGGTACTTATGTTGTTTGCCTGCCTTCCATCAGTGCCAGATTATTCAAGCTGTTGTAAAAGTTAATCTAGCGACCAAGTGAGTCTGTTCTGTTATTCTGATCTTGACCTGTTTTCTACTTTAGATATTCAAGTTTTTGCCTTGCCCTTGTCTGCTCTGTCTATTTTTGGCTTTCTACTGTTTTTCCTGGATTTTGATGGTTACTGATACTGGACCGTTTTCAATAACCTCGACTTGTATTCTCCTCATGGACATTGTTGCTCCCTCAGCATTGGCTAGCTTCAGCTCATTCGTCACCTGGTTCTGGAAGCAGCCACAGCTGCAAACGATGGACTGAACTTTGAATCAGAGTATCCGCCCCGCTGACGCCCAGCCGCTCGGTGTAATTATTTTGTGTGAAAATAAATCCTGTTAAAAATCATCTTGGTCTGTCTGTCTGAATATTGGGCCCCAAGTTCTGAGGTCATTACAATACTGCCATTTTAACTCAACTTTAACAAATTATCAAGGTTTTAAAGAGACTTGTACTGTAAAGTTGTTTTTAGACTGATTTAAGATAGGGGAAGTCAGATTTCACAGCTCCGAGACAGTGGTGGGACTATGGGAAAGTGTGCTGCTGAGTCAGCAGCACACTCATATATCTTGGAATTAGCACATCTAAAACATTAGAACATCTAAACATCTAAAATGCTAGTTTTAGCAAACCTGCTGGAAAATGTAGTCCAAGGCGTATTTGGTCAGGTCCTGGACCTAAAACATCACAGAAATTGATGGTACCTCTACATTTATTTTCAGTTTGGAGAGGAAGCAATGTCAACTCTCTGCTGTCGGATGTGTCCGGTTTATTCTTTATACATCATGTGCATTGCTATTCTGTTAGCCTGATTAGACAGAGTAGAAGGCCTTCCTTCACATTGTGGATGTCACTGTGTGTACGGAAGTCATCTAATCAGGACAGCCTTCATGTCTTTAAAAATACACAGGATATGGGCACATCTTGGAGCCAGACTGATAAAGGAGAGCTATCTGTAATCCTTGGGCATGGATGGCGTGTCATTTTCTGATACGGACAACTAAGCATCCACCTGGTGCAACACATAGACTCATGAGCTATAAGAAGGAGAAGATGACCTTGTTCGGGGCTCAATCTTTGCTGGACGCTCGCAGACGTGATTTTTGAGCCCACAGCTGTGCAAGCTCCAAGCATTTTCCCTGTCCTGTAACGACCTGATCTGGGATAAACTCTGTTACTTTTTACTCCTGTTTTTATAGTCCTTTTTATATGGTTTTACCCAGTTTGAGTTAAGAGTAGTAAATAACTTGCTCCCAGGGAAAGAACCGGTGGAGAAGTCCCGAGGCGCAACTGTTTTTTAGCGGACATAACTTCCTCATTTAACACACAGGACCGCAACTGATCGACTCTCTCCTGTCTGACACAGGACAGCAACTGAATGAACCAGGGCTGATCAGGAGGAGGGGCTGTGGGGTTTTACCATTCTCTGTTCCACAAGGAGTACAAAGAGAAGAAGGACATATTCCGGGAGTTCTGCAACAAACTACCCCAGGTCTCAAAGGAGACTAACACCGAGCTGGAGGACCTCTTGGAGCTTCAGGAACTCCACACAGCCCTCCACATCATGCAAGGCCAACGTCCCCTGGCATTGATGGGCTCACGGTAGATTTCTACAAGGCCTACTTGGACTTTACCGTGAAAGACCTGTTAGATTTCTGAAATGAAAGTCTGTTCACTGGTTCACTTGTCTTGCCGTAGGGCACTTGATGGGGCCAGATTAGCACAGCGGTTTCTGGAGCAGATAAAAGAGAAGATGGCAGCTGGGGAGAGGGAGCTCCTGCAGCTACAGGTGATGGAAAAATGCCTGCCTGACCCAAATGACTCGTTCCCGGACGTGTTCCTGGATCCAAATTTTGAGGAGGACAGTGATCCCCTGCTGCAAAGTATGCCCCCATGGATGGATTTATGTACAAATGTTTTACAAATATCCACAGAAGAGCAATCAGTGTGTAGAGTGACAAACGTGAGGTGAAAAACCTCAATGGACTGGTGACCTTCGTTGGAGGATACTTCACGGCGCTATCGCATTAAACTTGTTTTTATCATTCACCAGTCCTTGGGTTTCAAATGAGTGTCCTTTTTGTAGATTGTCTGAGAGTTGTTGTGATTTAAAGTTCAATGCCCATCCAGGTAGGATGTCAAATTAATATTGGGATTCTATATTCTTTTCTATTCCCAGCTAGCTGGGAATTTATATTTCTGATACTTTAAGAGGTATATTGCCCTCCCTGGTAGGGGTGGTAAATATCTTAATATATATTGCTTATGAACACACGCCCTACTAGATGTGTGTTAGAACAATACATGAAAGAGTGATTCAAGCTCTAATCATGGTCAAACAGTTAATTCTGCACATACATGGAATAAATTCACCACAACTTCTGTTCCAAATATAAGAGTTTATTAACATAACTATTGAGTAATGTAATAATAAAATAAACTTTATTGTATTAATACTGTCGTCATTGTATTATTATTATTATGACGTACAATTTGAAACTTAAGATGTTGTCAAAAGTAATGTACATAATATGGCAAAAGAACAACTTAAACAAAAAACAAACACAATATTAAAACCAAGTTTTGGAACACTTCTAAAGCAATGTATAAAACAACAAAAACACTCTGATATCACTGAGATTTATTTAATTTTACTTAGTGTTTTTTCTAACATAAGAGAATATTATAAAACAATGGAGAAAGAAAAAGACACCACCTTTTTCAAGGGACTGAGAAGAAAACAACATCCTCTAAGTTTTCTTTGAAATTCATTTTAGATGCAATCCTTCCTTTGAGATTTATGCTTATTCGACATTAAAGAGCTTTTGTATAGGACGCAGTGTGATCCACTAATTTGAAAAAACATATTTCTGTGTCAGTTTAATCAGATTCTAATAAAATCTTTAGCAAAAACTCAAACTATTACATTTATAGAAGATTATTTTGGTCTGACTATATATTTTTACATGAAATTAAAAATGTTACACAAAACAATAGTTTCTGATAATTGCTAATGTTGCTAGAGAAATCAGATCTTCTCACATTGTAAAAATTAGATGGCCACTAAAGGTTGTATGATGATCTGAATCATCATATATCCGTGTGTTTACCCACTGACGCAAAAACACAACATCTCCAGGCTCTAACAACAAGGTGACTCCTTTGCCTGAAGAACCAAAACCATTACCTTGATGCTCATATGCTATCAAAACATTTTCTCCATTCTTGACCAGCGCAGCACCTGAACCATGTGAACCATGTCCATGTGCACCTACACAGAACTCAAAGTGGTAGACTCCTCTTAGTGGGGCTGTGAAGAACCCTGAAGAAAAATAATAATAATTTTGAAAATTTCTGAAAAAAAATCACAGATGTCACTAATAACCATGAAATCTAGAATCAGCAAACATGATAATTTTGTATTTTTTCCTAATGTTACATCATCCTTCCAGCACATTCTGACCAAAGTTTGGCATTTGTTCTGAATTATATAAATTTACAGTATATGAAATGATTATTAAACCTAGTTACCTGTGTTAGGGTTGTAGGCATTTGCAATATTTGTAGTAACATGCCTGAAGACCAGAGGGATGTGCGTGTTAAATGGACCATGAGTTGCTGAGCCTGAGGTCAACAATGAAGCTGAGAAAGCCACTCGTTTCACTAGAAGGAAGAAAGTATTGTGTTTGGTTTGGTGTTAATTAAGAAGTAATATTCACATTAGGTGAAGAATTTTTCACAGCATCTAGAATTTAAAAAGTGCTAACTTTTTCATGAGAGCAGTGCTGTATTTTTTTAAATAATGCACTTAAAACTAGTAGCATATTGAGAGTGCGGAACGATGACAAACGTTCCCACAAGGTTTGCCTAGAGACTCTTGCAGTGGAAACCGTGTTCAGAGTGAATTCTTCTTAATGGTTGTGATTATTGACAAAGAAAGTTTATTTCTGGATTCACAAACCTTCTCCTTCTTTCTTTAGAGCCTCCACCTGATTTTCAGTGATGTTTGCCCTGCTTTTAATATTGATAAGATCTTCTATCTGAGCTGAAATCATACAAAGCAAAACATTCATTATGCAAAATATCAATAATATAATTAATAATAATCATATATATTTTAAGTTTTGTAACCTTTTGCTAAAACCCATACAGCAGACAATAGGACTAGGCTTAGGTTTTCCAAAAAATAATAAATTAATTGATTCTGTATTTCTGTGGTAACTAGTGTTGCACTGATGCCAGTATCGGGTGGGGCCCCGATCCAGCACTAAAATTGTATCAGTATCGGCGAGTACCAACAAATAAGGCACTGATACCATTTTGAGAGCCAAAAGTTTTTTCAACTATTGTCACCCATTCCAGGAAGGCAATAAAAAGTTCCACTAGATTCACTTTGTATTAGTCTTTTTCCTGCTTCACAAAGGTAGGCAGCAGCTTGACAAAGCCATGATGGCAAATATTTTACATCCAAGTAGTTTGCAGTTCTTCATATAAAACACACACATCAGTTTCTAACAGATGGTATCGTGATAGGCCAATACTGCACAGCCAGGTATCTGGTATCGGGGCCAAAAAATGGCATCAGCACAACAATAGTTAGAAAATTTCTTTCTTTACATTTAGATATATCTGATGCAAAAGTATTGGTTATCATGTAAGATTTTGCTTGAGTTTACATATGGTGATATTTAAAAAAAATGAAGTTAATACCAGGCCCGGCCCATGGTCTAGGCTGTATAGGCAAATGCTAAGGGCGCCATTCATCCAGGGTGCGCTGTGATGGTGGGAATTAAAGAAAATAAAAGTGGAACTTATATGTTTATAGTTATTTTCATAACAATACTATTATTTCTTATAAAAATTAAAAAATTTCTTCTTATAAAAATTGAATAGGCTTATAGACAAGCCTATTCAATTTTTTTTGTGAGCATCTAAACTGGCAGTGGAACTGACTGTGATGCAGGGGGACACCAACTAAATGGTTGCCTAGGGAGCAAAATTGGTTATGGCCGGGTCTGTTTAATAGAAAAGTACTGTTTATACTTTGAACTTAGTGTTCCTTTCTAATAGTATTTTCACTTTTTTTAAATACCTTGGTGCAGTTGTTTCACCTTGTCCAACTCTTGTGTTTGAACTGTGTGTGAAAAGAATAAAAAAAAAAAAAAAAAAAGGATTTCGTTAAGTTATTGCTTTGAGGCATTTTTACTTCAGAGCCTCCCACTGGTTTTTAGTAATGTTTGCCCTGGTTTTAACATTGATCAATTCTTTTACCTGAGCTGAAACCATACAATCATACAATACATCTTGTAAAATGAGCAAATGAATACATTTTCTTCACAATGAAAGCAGCAATAATGTGATTTGATAAAAACCTTGGTACAGCTGTTTTAGCTTGTCCAACTCATCTTTCTGCAGCTCCAGCTCTTTCGTGTTAGCTATTGTAGTAATAAAAAGGAAACAGTAAATTATACTGTTACTTCTTCAGACAAGCATTCAAAGAAACCATTGTGAATGCTAAACATTTGTAATTAAATATACCTTCATGATCCCTCTGTAGGTACTTTGTCTCCACCTTCAGTCCAGCCACCGAGGCGATCACCTCTCTTAGCACAGCATTGATGTCCTGTGGAATTGTTTGTTGGGGGTTAGGAAGATTTTCTGTGTCTTCGACCTGTGCTCCATTTTTCCTAGAATGGGAAATAATTTCATTGTCGGTCAAAGCCTGGAGCTGAGATGTAGATAGAGAGCTGATTAGCAGCAGTGCTCGGAAAAACATTGTCATCTCCATTCTAAGTTTAAGTCTCTGCAGGTCTGCTTTGTTGGCTGTGTGGAACCCAGGTCTTAAATATACCATGAAATACAAAGGACTAATCATTAACCTGTTTTGATTGTGTGTTTTTTTTAAACACGTGCAGATAAGGACTTGAAACCTTATCTGCACCTTATATCGTTCCCTTTTGACTTCAGGGAACCTTCGGGCAAGTGGTAAAAATCCTTAACGTCAACCCCTGAGATGGATCTTTAATCTCAAATCTGAATCATAGGAGATATGATATCATCTTTTTTGTAATCCACATTTTCAACATATTTCACTGTTATTAGGTGTTATTTGGCTTCCCTTCAAGATCAGAACCTTTTTTAAGGACCTGTTTTCTCAGGGAAACATACATCAGCAGGTAAAGTTCTCTTTGATTATGTGAAGCACTTCATGGGCCAAGCCTCTGCTGTTTTGGTCGATATGAAGAATGATTCACTGAAATACCTTATCTCTCTTATAGGCCAGTTCCTTTTGTCTAAAGAAAGGATGAACACAGCATTTTATTATAGCTGCATTGTTATAACTTATTGGCTATTGTTTTGATAGCACAGTCAAGCCTTCTATTACTGTAAGTGTATGAAACACTTTCTTGTGACAGATCTGGCAAGGTGTCTTTTTTTGTTTATATAGGCTATATCTGTCTAATAACCTAAAGCTAAAGCATCCTCCCAGTCTCGTTATTTTATAACAGGACAGAAACAAAAGCATCCGGGCCTACATTGGATCAAGGTCAGAGTATGGCATCGACCCTCAGCTACCCTGGTTGGTCCACCCCATACTTAGTCATCACTAATGGGCCATTCTACTCTGCCTTAAAGAAAATCACATGAACTTCACTTGATTCACATTTTTTTTTAAATCTGTGTGTTATGGAAAGCCAAGTCGTTCAGAAGCGTGTGACCCCTGACACGTGCGTGCTGCTTGTGAGTTGCCATATCCACTCTAAGTTTAAAGGAGAAGTTCGGTTTTTTACACTTTAAGCCCATTTTCTGTAGTGTCCAGGATGAAATCGAATGATCGACACCAAAAGTTTGACAATTGCTCCTGTCTCTGCTTTTTGGCTCATTTAGAATCCACCCCTGGCTGCTTTAGAATGGCTTGCATAGAGCATGTCCGATAATGTCCTTAAAACAACCTTAAACGTTCTTTTTTTTAAATATGCTACTCACCGGGTCGTCAGCGCTGTTCAATGACGTTCCAAAAAAAGTTTCGTGAAGAAAAAACGTTCCTGTAGTGTTTTATTTAGCATTTTGTAAATCCCATTGAGTTCTGTAGGAATAGTCAATATTCCGCTGCCACCGGAAACGGAAATGGGGCCTGTTTACACAGTTGTAGTCTTTTCGCTTCACTCTGTGTACTCCGACGTCGAGAATCAAGAATCCACCTTTCGTATTCCATTTTCAGAGTTTTTTAAAGTGTTTAACAGAGACGTTAGCACCTCGACGTCGGAGTACACAGAGTGAAGCGAAAAGACTACAACTGTGTAAACAGGCCCCATTTCCGTTTCCGGTGGCAGCGGAATATTGACTATTCCAACAGAACTCAATGGGATTGACAAAATGCTAAATAAAACACTACAGGAACGTTTTTTCTTTACGAAACTTTTTTTGGAACGTCATTGAACAGCGCTGACGACCCGGTGAGTAGCATATTTAAAAAAAAGAACGTTTAAGGTTGTTTAAACGACATTATCGGACATGCTCTATGCAAGCCATTCTAAAGTAGCCAGAGGGTGATTCTAAATGAGCCAAAAAGCAGAGACAGGAGCAATTGTCAAACTTTTGGTGTCGATCATTCGATTTCATCCTGGACACTACAGAAAATGGGCTTAAAGTGTAAAAAACCGAACTTCTCCTTTAAGTCTCTGTCGTCTGCTTTGTGGGCTGTGTGGAACCCAGGCATTAAATATCTAATGAATTACCAAGGGCTAATCATTAACCTATTTTGATAGTGCTATTTAGAAACACGTGCAGATAAGGACTTGAAACCTTGGCCTTTCGACTGGAACAATAAGTACAATTGAAAGCAAACATAGAAACGTTATCTGTTGGTAGAGATGTATCTTTAATCTCAAATCTGAATTATAGAAAAAGAAAATTTTACTGTAATCCACATGTTCTACACATTTCACTTAATAAAAGAAAATCTCAAGTTTCAAGGATATAATATTTTGGAGTATAATATAAGTTGTACCATATTAAGGACAATATGTCAGGATGTGTTTTTCTTTAACAATTGACATTGTTAAACTGGTATGAAAATCATGTACCTCAGATTATGACTCCTGATGGAAAAGATCTCCTCAGTTGTCAAAGATCATGTCAATCTGGAGTGATAGCTAAAGTAGAATATGTAAATGTTCGCTAATCATTAACTTTTCTATATTATTTAGAAACACGTGCAGATAAAAAGTGCTTATAATGCTTTTATTAAGTAAACAGCAATAAAATCGGTTTGTTGATGGAAAGTCTCTGGGTCATCAGATAGTCACAAGGAAAGCACAATGTTTGGTCCTTCTTTAGAGATTAATCAAATTATAAAACATCAGACTCTCAGAAATGTTGTTATATTTAGGGATCTCTGGAATTTCTATTAAAGCTGGATTTAGAAGAAAAACACTTCATATCGATTACCAGTCCACAATTTCTAAGCATTTAGAATATTCCAATTAGCTTACTTTACTGCCTGGAAGGTTTAACTATTTCCTAAATATATGTTTGGTAAAGATATAAACAGATTACTGTGGAGCAAAGTGTGTAATGGTCAGTATTCGGGGACTGTCATTATATTCCATTTTCTTCAATATTTAACTGTTGATTATGAGCTGATGGTTCTAGATTCTTTA